GGCTTGGAGGCTTTGCCTGGGAGAAGGGAGGGGTGGCTCTGGCCCCACTCACCCTGGCCCCCAGAGGCAGCGGGTGTTGCAGAAGCCAGGGGGTCCCTTGCTGCTGTGGAGCCACTGGGAAGGAGACCTGCCCCACAGCTCCGAGCGGCAGCGGCCTTAATTCCTAGCCACATGCTCAGCTTGCAGGAAGGAGACTGCTCCCCAGAAGAAACCGGTGCCTTCCCCATCTGGGGCTTCTCTAGTTTTTTGGCTATGCAGTGCAAAGAGCAGCTCTGAACTGACCCCTGCACAAGGCTTTCTGCAATGGTACGTACAAGAGCTGTTTCTCCTGCTCATTGGAGGTTGGCTTGCCAGGGAGATCGTGCTGCAGACAATAAGCTGCAAGTGGAGATCTGGCCATGTCACTGCAGCCCTGCCTTGTGTCTTGCTCACCAGCTTTAGAAAGGAAAACTCTCTCAGGATTTTCCATGCCATCAGAGTCCATTTCTTCTCCGGGGGCTGGAAAGGCCTCTTCGTTCTGTTCCTTGTCTCCTCAGAGCCCCCATCTCCAGTGCAACTCAACGGATGATGGTCACTGCTTCTGCAGGATAGTGCTGCTGGTGGTGCACCGCTGAGCCCAGTACGAAGCGCTGTGTGCCCTGGGAATCACCTTCGGATGGTAGCTCTCCAAGTGACTAGGAGCAGACCAGACCTCTGAACTGCAGTGCCAGGCCTGTGAGCAGATGGCAGCCCAGCCTGGATGCACTGCTCCCCGTGCATGAGAAAATGAAAACAGGAACAAACGAACGGCTGTTCTGCCTCAGCCCAGAGCCCGGTGACAAGTCCAGCATCCGCTCACACAATGGCTGGTACCAGATGCTTGCAAGGAAGGTGCAGGGTGCTCTGGCTGTGGCCACACTATAAGGACTCGGACAAGAGTTCAGAAAAGGAGGATAAGGAAGGATGTCTTTTGTTCAGTGCAACAGGCCAGAATGATGATCAGGAATCTTCTCTTACACCCCTGGGGGAGGGGCAGGAAGCTACCCCCGGGGGCGGATTCTCAGTATGACGTTACAGCCCCACATTCAAGACGATACAAGGGGATCATTAATACCTACAAGGGGTCAGGACAGAGATACCTCTAGCAGCACAGTGGGCTCTAAGGGTCATTTCTAACTTGACTGGAGTGGTGCCACTCACTGCAGGGCTGCGCCGCAGCCCCAGCCTGAGCCACGGGGTCAGGGCTGACTCAGACCCCGATGGCTGGCAGGAAAGGGCTAGCAATCCTCTTCTGACACTACCGTTTGGTGGAGAGGCGATGTCTTGTCAAGCAGCTGTGAAGTGCCCTCGAAGACTGCACTGGCCTCTGTGCGGACGTTGGGTGCCGCAGGGTGCTCTCGCTGCCCGCAGGTTTCATGCACACACAGTGTGCGTTTGGCAATGTTGCCTTCCCTTCCTGCTAGAGGAGGTGAGGAGGAAGCCGTGCACAGTGCTGCAGAGCAGGGGCATGATGCGGGTGCTCTGAGGGTTGCTGAGAGGGACATGGTGGGCTGCCAGCGCTGAAGGCCGGCTCACGGAGATGGAGAGAAACTGGCACAGCCCAGGGAGGCGGCTTGCTCAGGCAGAGCCCGGGACACAGCAACATGCTATGGATCAAAGCCTGGACAATCTGGGCCAGGCCTGGGAAACAGCAGCCAGCACTGGCGTGTCACTCTCACTCAGTGTTTCTCCATCAGGGCATCCCCAGAGCCTCTCGCACGTCTGTGCTCTCGCCCAACGTCCTCTGAAGAATGCGGTAACATCCTCTAGTGGCCAGGAACCAGCACGGCACCACGCCGGCAGCCAGACCCCGCATGTGTCTCTTGCCTGTTGTGCTCAGGGGCAGAGGGGAGGAGTGTGGAGAGGAGCAGAGAGGCTGATTTAGCCCCTGTCTGTTCCCCCAAATGACAGCAGCTGACACACACACAGCCCAGGTGGCGATGAGAGCAACCTGCCCCGATAAAACAACCTGACCATGCCGCTGGTAATGGACACCCCAAAATTGCAGCTTTTAGCAGCATAGGGAGTGGGTGCTGCTGTACTCTCACTACAGGGACTGCAATTACCTTGGCAGAGCCAAGGGCAGAACATCACTGCATGATCTGAAAGCCATAAGCATCGCATGGTTTTGAAGCTGCCATCATTGACCTGAGAACGTAGGAGCTGCTACTCATGGAGAAGACAGAAAGCAGGAAACAGCTTGCAATAACCTGAGCCTTGGCTGCTGCAAACACTCCAGTAGTGACAGGCCCCAGCAAAGGTCGCACAAGTCACAGCACAGCTCCCACACCAGTTGGGTTTCAGATGCCAGGGCAATACAAGTCAATAAAGAGATGTGCTTTGCCTGAGCCCCCACTCCATGAACCCCCTGAAATGAATTCAGGCAGCTGAGTCCATAAAGGACTCCTTAAAACCAGGGCTCACAGAGCAGAAGTGCATGCATGGCCCAGGAAGAAGAGGTGCACACGGGCTGCCAGTGCTTTTCCACCACTAACATCACCAAGGACCACAGTATCACCTCCAGGGGATCCGGCACTGGCCCCACGGCAGAGCGGGAGGCAGGCCTGTCACCTTTGCTGGGCACCACCACGAGAGCACAAAGCAACTCAGATTTCAAAATGAAGTAAATGAAAAATCCAGAAGCAGGAACATGGGGGTGCGCAAGTCCCAGGACAGTTCAAAGATAAAGAGAGGAGCACGGGGAAAAAAGGGAATGGGAAAGATGGGGGAAACAGAGCGATCAGGACCCCTGCATGGCTGCCTCCACTGACGCTGCGTCTGGCTTGGTATCGGGGCGCTGAGCTCCACGGACAGAGCCGTGCGTGGCCTAAGGGAGCCGCAGCTGTCCCACGGACATTTGAAGATAAACAGGGGCTTTGTGCTGGGCGAGAAAGCTCAGCACCCTGCGGCCCCGACTCACCTGGTGAAGTCCTCCTCCCCAATCATGTGTCGAGGGATGGGCGAGTACCTGGATGGGGTCACCTGCGGGGGTGCTGGGTAGGCAGGCTTGTTCTCAATGCCGCCCAGGTAACCCAGACTGGAGTTATGGCTTATGTGGTTATCAGCCAGGGCTGAGAAGGCTGCAGGGAAAGGAAAAGACAAAATCAGGAGCTGAAATCTCAGAGCCTGCCCAGTGGCGCTGGCCTGGG